AGAGAAACTAAGAAAAAAAAATCAGTAGGAAAATTACAATGCTTATTTTACAGATGAATAAGCAGTGACATGGACAGTTAAGGGCTTCATGTTAAATAGATTTTATTCTATTATAAAACCATAACATAAAGTTATCAAAAATAAAAAAAGATGAAAAGGCACAGAACCAGAAAGCAAAATATTTTAGTTTGAGTCCTGGTTCAAACCCCTGTCCAGACCAGTCCAGTCCAGAGCCCTGTCATGAGGCTGGACTTCTTCATCTAAAAAGCCAGCCCTACCAACTCGAGGATGGCGTGATTCCATCACTTGTGGAGAATAAGGTTGCTAACTAAATCTGAAGAACTAAGTCTCTGGATCATAGGATTGAATTAGAATTACTATTTGAAGAATTTAAGGTCTGTGTAAAGCAATAGGGAAGCTGTTCCATCTCCATAGCACTGATGCCTTTCTTCATAGGTGATGCCCAGGCCCAAACGTGACAACAATGTCCTCCTCTGTAGATATTACAACTGCCATTTCTGCCACCTGAGGAATAATGACAAGGAGAGCTGGTGTCCTTCTATCTCCAGGTCCTGAGTCTTCCACTCAGGACTGTCCCACAGAGTAATAAGTGCCTGCAAGAACCTCATAGGTAGAGTCAACGATCCATGCCTGTTGCAAGGGATAGGGTTGTAGCCAGTGTGTAAAGAATTTAGTTACAGGTGTACTAGACAAAGTGCTCTCCACAGACCGTTTGCAAACCCTCTTCCAGCTTAGCTTCCTGTATCTATGAATTTTCTGGGAACCTAGTTTCCCTTATTGAGCTAACTGGTGACTCTAAACTGCTAATAACAATAACTTATAGTCAATTTGTTAGCACTAACTTCCAAAAAGAACAATATAGATTAAGGCAGAAATCTCCAAGTTTGTATTTTTAAAAACAGACCATTTAATGATTCCACCGCACTGTTTCCCTTCCTAGGCATATTCTCTGAACTTGGATAATGGAGGTTGCTGGTTCCTAATTTGCCAAGTGACCAGGTCATTTTGTAGCCTGTGAGCTGTAAGATCTTCTATGCAGAGATCTCACAGAAGGCCTAGAATTGAATCCTTTTATATTTATTTAATTTTCCCCCTTCTTGCTTCGAAGTATCATTTGTTCTCTCTACTTTTATTTTTGTGTCCCAAGAGGCACAGGTGGTTCTTATTTCAAGCTGTAGGAGAGATTCTGCTATTCAAAGATTAATGAATAAAGAGAGCCTTGTAAATAGATTAGCATGATAATGGTCATAATGCTCTCTGCTGCCTTCTGTGCCTACTTCAGTCTGTGTGCCTTGAAACTGCCTCCCCTCCCCCAGGCTTGGGACCACTCTCCCCTCTTTCCCACCAACCAGTTCTCCTATTTGAATTCTAGGAAGACAAAGTGACCCTGAAGACAGGCAGCTGCAGAGAGAGAGAGAGAGAGAGAGAGAGAGAGAGAGAGAAGAAAGAGAAAGGACACAGTGGAGAATTGAAAAATACTTAAAAATCAGTTGTACTTAAGGATAATGGCATCTGCACAGAAGGCACCTACAAAGAAAATAGCAGACTTCACTGTTTGGGGTCGGGACTATAGCTCAGTAGTGGTGTGTTTGCCTAACCTGCGTGAGGCTCTGCCTTTGATTCCCAGCACTGCAATTATCACACGACAATAACAACAATAGCAATGACTAGGATAGTTCTTTCAAAGGACAGAACTGTTGAACTGTTGCACACCTTCAAGCATTCCCTTTCAGTGTTCAGCTCACTGAACTGTATTCCCTTCTCTCTGCTTTAATCTAGAAGCACGTACGTGGCTTTTCTGCATGACTATATAGGGACAAAATTAAGGAGGCTTTTCCATGAAACCTTTACTAAGGCCCCTCCCTGAATACAGGATGCGTGGGATTCCTTGAGCTGCACTGGGTATCAGAACAAGGCGGGAATCCCTGTGCTCACAGGCCTGTCTATCCATGTCCCTTCTTAATCCTACTTGCATGCCTGGGCTTTGCATCAGTGAGGATGTGTGTGACTTTCAAGGAAAAGCCCCTCTAGAGAGATGCCATGAAGATCTCCAGGCGGTGTGGATTGAGGCAGGAAGGCAGAATCAGACCCTGCCACCGGGAGAGAGTCTGGAAGCCTAGACTGGCAGAACCTCGGCACCTGGGTTTGTCTGCTTGGATGGAAACTCCAACCACAGCAGAAGCCGCTGAGCCGATCAGGCAAAGAGCCCACACACACACCAGGCCAGGAAACACAGCCGCTTCCCTCCCTTTGTCTCCAAAGACCTGCCTGCCTTTTCCCTCATTTGAAGAGAGCCCAGAGTACCAGGAGCCAGGCTGACCCCCTGCCTCCCCACGTCGATTAACATCCCCTCCACCTCACACCGACCCCCATCAGGGCACACATTACCCCCACCCCACCTCCTTTCTCTGTGCCTGCTGCTATCAACCGGGAAAGGGGAATCTAAAAATAAAGCCAGGGCCAGAGTGTGTACCACTCGATTGGGCTCCTGTGTTCACAGATCTGCTTATTTTGGCCTATCTCTCCCCAGCGATAAGGCCGCTAACAGCCTGTTATCAGCCAGTCGGTGAAAATGTGCTCCAGCCTGATTAGGCCTCAGTCTTTGCCAAGGTTATAAACAGCCGTTATCGTTTTCCCGAACAGAATAATCCGGACAGTATCAGCTCAGAAACATATGGGCCACACAGAGAAGATAGCCGCTGACGGACACTTCATTTTAATTGTAACGAGTGGGTCGCAGCAGCCTGTAGACAGGCAGCGCCGCCCGATTGGCAGCGGGGCTCCTTCCCTTTCTTTCTTTTTCTTTTTGTAAATCCCTTCTTCGACCCGAGTTCCCGGTGCCTAAGCAACTCATATTCTGGGTGGAATAATGAACTGGCCCCTACCCCAGATGTTACCAGTCACCAAGCATGACCTTTCCCTAAAAGGCAGATGGGGCCTTTCTGATTCTGTTCTGTAGTGGGGGGAAAAATCATCAAGAGGAAACCCATACAGTTCTCTGTTCCCCACCCACACAACACACATTCAGCGATATAACCTGTATTACCTCTTCAACCCGCCTCCCTCGTCCCCTCCTCCGTGCACCACCAGGTGTCCATAAGACCACCCCCCCTACTCAGCCCACCTCCATCCCCGTTTCTGAATACCAGGCTCTTCATGGGCCAAGGCTGAATATTTGTGGAGAATCCATAGCCATCCCTTTGCCTTCCCTATACAGACATTCGTGAGCCAAGACTGGTTGTGAGGAAGATAAGGACACACAGATGGAGGTGCTTTGTCGTGAAAGCTGGGGTGAAAGGTTTTGCTGTGTGTCTCTAGACCAGCACAGACAGTCTTGATGGCAGAGACTTCAGACCCGAGCCACTGTTCTGTTGGCATGGAGCCAGCAGCCACCTTACTCTTGCCCGGAGTAATACATTTTACTCCCCTCTGAGTGACACCTAAAACAATGTGGTGGGAAAGGGACTGAAGAGAATGGAAGCAGAGTCCATAGCAAAGGGTCCCAGGAAGCAGGTGCCCCTCTCCTCGCCAGTAGGCTCACCTCAGGGCCTAACTGCTATTGTACTGCATCTCACACCTGGCTGGCCAGATGGGGTCACTGAGAGCAGGTGGGACTCTGAGGATGATAAACACCCCACCTTGCACCAGCTGGCAACGTTCATTCTCTTATTCTGCATTCATCATTCCGGGCCTCAAGCAACTAAGCATCTCCGAGTTGTTTTTCCTTGCTGACACACTTTTCTAGTTTGCTCTCTTTCTCTTCCTTATATTCCCACATATCTTCCCCATGTTATTGTAAAAACCTGGCAGCACCTTTCACTAATAGTCCTTATACTCAATGCATTCCACTGACTGTATAAATTCCTCCAGATGAAACTCAGCTCCTGGTGACTTTCTAATAAGGATAACCAAGGAAGAATCACAAAGGCCAAAAAGATAAAGAGATGTGGTTCACAAAGAATCCCCAAAAGCTCACATAGGTTTCACCTCTCTTTTCTGGGCTTCAGTTTCCAATTCTGCAGATAGGATGATATTGCTTTCCCCTGGAAGAACGATTAGCAAGACCCAGCATGCACTGAGCACTGACGTATGTGCCGTGTTGGTTTAACCATGAGACAAAGGTGCTCGTGTGAGCCTCAGACTAATTCGGGGACTCATTCAGTAGCCCGATGACTGCTGAGCCCCTGTAATTCCAGGGTCCCACGGATCCCCAACAGCCCACATGAAGGCAACACCCTTATGCCGTCCTTGCAGAGGTATGTGAGAAGCTTGTCCACCTACCCCATCTCCACGCAGTCCCTCGGGACACAGGAAATACCCAGCCGGGTCCTGAGAACTGGTCACCATCAACTGAAAATTGAGTCCCTGGTAAGATTCCCGCAATAACATCCAACTCAAAAGGGAAAGAAGACAGAGGTTCCAAGAACAGTTGAAAGGAGCCAGAAGTACACTGTTGTTTTAATTCTTATTTTCCCCATGGCTTTTCAACCCCCACATTTGTTCTACCACCCTCCCAACAAAATCTAGCTTGGATTGCTTTGCAAAATCACTAAGGGGCTGGCCAGCAGGCCGTGCAAGATGCTCCAGTGGGTGGCACGCACAGCATCTAGGTGGCCTTAGCTCGGTGCCGTGACAGAATTTCAAGGTTATGAAGGCCTTTCCTAGATTTGATACTAGTCTCTGAAGATATCTAGGGATCATGTGAGCCCTTCTCAGAAAGCAGGAGTTGGGGCCCAGCGGCAACCGACACAAACTAGCATGCTTCCCCCTCATTTTTCTACTTTCATTTTCTTAGTCTTCCTGTTTCAGGGAACCCAGTTTTGTTCCCTCACCATTTAGGGCTAACTAGAACTAACCCCCCCCCTCCAAAAAATAAGCAGGCAGCCAGGCCTGTTTCTCTGGAGCCTGACTTCTCCATTCTGTCTACAACTCGTTGGGGCTGAGGGGTCTCCACTGACTTAGAAACTGGACTGGCTTACTCAGGGCCACAGAAGAGGAGCCGATGGAGCTTTCAGAGCAGGAGAAGGTGGCAAGAGAAACAGCGAATGTCTGGCCTGCCGCCATCACACTTCTGCTGTGCGGATGAGACTGCGGTTTGACAGGTGCCATGAGGGCTGTGCCTTTGGCCTCAGTGCCATTGCTGAGTCTCCTGGGTGTCCCTATGAACGTAAACACCTTAAGGACTTATTTCCTCCAGGCTGTATGTATTCCTAAGCACCCAGAGTCCGATTTAGATATAGAAAACACTGGATGAAGAGAAAGAACAAATTGAACCAAAATCTGCCCAGATTGATGTCCACGCCTTAGAGGAAGTCTACATTTAAAACTCAGCTGCGGACAACTATCTATATCCGCCTGGGCTATTTCCTTAAGAGTCTCAGTTTCCCCAGCTCTAGAATGGTAGCATAGATTTGTCATGGAGATTATATAGACTCAGTTACTCAGCCTGACTCCTGATGCATAACAGCCACCTAATAATAGCTATTTATGTGGGCTCTGGCCCCAACACCTCTTCAACCATGCTTGGCTGCTCTGAGCAAAGACGCCCTGGCAGCCCAGGACCTCTGGTTCGGACTGCTGCTTTGCTGCAGCTACTGTCGTTGCTTGAGTCTGTGGCCTGCAGCAGGCTGAGGTCACGTGGCTAGGAGCCATGCCAACGATCCGATGTGGCAAGGCAAAACCGAGGCATGCCGTGAGAGCACTGTAGCTTCTGCTATCCGGCACTGCGTGGGCCTCCCTGACTGTGACTGCCCCAGTGCCCCTGCTCTGGTCACCATGGCACGATCTGAAACATTACCTTGGTTCATTGTCCTCAGATTCTGCTGGGCTGGACATTAAACCATGCTATGGGAAGACACCGAATGACTTTGATTTGCCTATGGTAGTGTCTTAGCTCTCCTCTGGGAGCAGCTGAATGCATTTACTCTTCCTCTAGTGTCCTTTCAGTCTGGAGGTTTGCTTTGCTTTCCCTTTCCTGGAGAGAGAGATTCTTAAACCCATTTGCATTCCCAAGACAAGCTCTTAGGCATAAATTCATTTCAGCGTGGGGGTCCTCTATTCTCTCTCTTTCCTCTCCCCATGAAGCTGGGTGAATTCATAAGTAGCTCTAGTGTTTCCAGCACTGGAATCTTATATAAGACAGGATTACAGCAGATAGAGCCTCTCCCTCTCTCTTCTTCTTCTTCCCTCTCTCCCTTTCACCTTCCCTCCTTCCCCCCACCCCCATGTATTAGTCTCATCAGTACAAGATCATTTTCACATCCGTGCTCTATAGATGTGCCCTACCCAGGCTTAGTCAGTGCTATCTTTCCTGGCCTCCTGTGGGAATAGTGCCAAACAAAATAACAAAATATTCTTTTGGTAAGGTAAGTTAAAACCTTGGGAAGATTTAAAGCTGGGCTTCATGTCATCGACACTCCCTTCTGCAATCTGTATTCCAATCTCGGTGCTGGCAGAGCTGAGCGGAATAGCTAAGGTCGCATAACAGATCCAGTACTTACTGACTTCCCTGACATTTTGCTGCTTCATGTTGCCCAAGTGACTTGCCTTTCAGCCTCCAAAGGCCCTGCAGTCCCTTCCAGCTCCCCCCCTCAGATGGCAAACATGTAGAAGGCAGTCCAGGAACTCAGGACAAGAAAGGACAGGACTCAGGTCACCCCTTGAATACACAACTGGGGTTAGGGTCCTCATTTTGTAAAGTGGCTTCTTTCTTTTCCTTGAGTATTTTATAAGGCTACATTCCTTCTACATATGGCATGGAAGTAGGACCTATGCATCAGGGAGTTTGAGGAGTCTTAATGAAGATTCTCCTTCTCTGTGATGCTACGCAGGGCTGATAGACTCAGTGTACTCAAACCTTCCTACTTCTTGTTATTACTTAAATCTGGGAGTGCCTTATTTAAACTCATAAAGTTTTGAGGCCACAAGCTATTAGGGTGTTGGCTCACCAAATAGAATCTCAAGACACACTCCAATGACTTGTGCTCAAAAACAGATGTATTAAATATGCGCCCTAAGAATACCTACTGTTGTAGGAGGACACAAGAATAAGCAGGAATACAGCACCCCAGTTCCTGCAAGGTTTATTGTAATCAAAGAAAAGCAGAAGTACTGAAAGGGGTGAGGGTGAACTCATGTTCTGACCTACTGTAACAACTGGCATGCGTGCTCTAGTCAGACCCACTAGCAGGCTGTAAAGGCTTGCTTTTCAATCATGTAACACTTGCTCATCTTAACAGAAAGATGGTAAATAAGGGAATTGAGTATATCATATGTCTGAACGGTGCCACCTACTGCAGAGTTCACAGAAGGAAACCTGGGAGGCAGCTACAGGTTAAGGGCGCAGTGACCTATCCTGATGCTAAGAAGAAAAAGGACACGTGGTCACATGACCAATAACACTAAGTAATCAAAGGCAAAGGGGATTAAAAAAAAAAAAGGCATGATGGCTCCACAAAAATACTTCAGAGATGGCCTTCAGTGTCTTGCTTAAAACAAACAAACGAATACATAAATAAAATTACGAAACTCAGGCAATCAAAAGCCAAAGGGCTATTAAAACTCGATCTCTCTGGACAGCATATTAGCTTGATTATCTCAAGACATGCTACCTGTGGCCATCAGACTCTTTAGCACTGAACACCGCATCATTGTTACCCCTCATACACAGGTATCTGTGAGTCAGGTCACAACAGGGGTGACCAGGCGCTAGGAGCAACATATTTCGTTGTTTTCAATGTCTACTTCTAAAACCTTCAGGCAAGGTTGGAAAAGAAAATCTCCAATACAAATTGAAAATTAAAGACAAGTAGATGGTTTCTCAAAATTAAACTTGTCACATAAGAAAATTATAATCAAAATCATCTCCGTGATTCAAGTCTTTCAGTGTGTTTAGTCACATACACACACACACACACACACACACACACACACACACACACACACACACACACGGCTCCGCACAGACATATGGAAAGCAAGCAGGCAAAACATATTAGCACTTGGTCATCAGGTAATACTAACTGTGGCTTCAAAAGGAGATATGCTCACAAGCCTGCAGACGGAAGCAGGTCAATACAACAGTTTTCAGTATATTGCAAAGTATTGAAAGGTTACATACAGATATTTGGAGACAGATATGCTGTATTCTCTGGGAAACAGTCATAAAAAATAAAACTATAGTCATATAATTTATAGTAACTCTAGTTTTGGAGTGTTGGTTATGTTTTTTTTTTTTTAATTACCAACCATTGTCCATATTACTTATTTAAAGATTATTTTTTTCTAGGTCAGTTACAGAACTATATAAGTGAGTGACTCTCAACTAGGGTGACTGTGTCTCCTAGCAGGCATCTGGCAATATCTGGGGGTGCTGGGATGCAGCTGAACAACCTATAGTGTACTGAACCACAAGAAATTAGGTGACCTCAACAGTAATGGTGCTGAAACTACACAATCCTTATGCAGATTATCATTCAGCATTACAAGATCTCTCAAATCATGTCCCCCAAACTTTTAAACTTTTAAGAAGTGAAGAGAGAAAGAAGAAGAAAGGAAGGAATGAAGGAGGAAAGAAAGAAAGAGAGAGAGAGAAAGAAGAGAGAGGGGGAGAGCTGGGAGAAGAAAGGTTAAGGGACACAATCGAAGAACTCTTTTAGTATCATTTGCTTATCAAAAGTATATCTGGAGGGCTGGAGATATGGCTTATAAGCAGTTATGAGTACTGACTACTATTCCAGAGGACCAGGGTTCAATTCCCAGCAGCCATACAAGGGTTCACAAGCACCTTTAACTCCAGTCCCACAGAATCTGACACCCTCCTCTGGCCTCAGTGGGCACTGCACATACACAGTACACAGACATACATTCAGGCAAACACTAACACACATAAAATACAAATAAATAAAATCTAAAGCAAAAGGTACAGTTGTGATTTGCTACAAATATTACTTCATCATCAAACATGTTCCTAAAGCCTTCCATCTGGATTTGCATTGTACCACACACTCAAAAAAAAAAAAAAAAAAAAAAAAATGCTGGCCAGTCATCAGAAGCCTGAGGAGAAAATGAGGAAACATTTACCTGGAGACAGGCCCAGCTGAACACAGGAATATGTATACTGACCAATTGGACTAAAATCAAATAATGTAATATACACAAAAATTAACTTTTTAGTTAGTGAAAAATAAACCCATCTGGTTTACCCAGTCCAATATGTGCGTACCCATCCAATCATATAGCATCAGATCTCTGGAACTCAGTAACACAATAATATTATTTTTGAGATCAGTTAGGGCCCAAATCGTGCGTGCTCTGGCTTTAATATTAATAAGTTTTGTAACTAGCAGTTTCTCGTAGCTCCGAATTCTTGAGCACAACTAGAAAGGGCACTTATCCTGAAAAATCTAATAAATTTACAGTTTTATATACTTCCTTCAATTGTAAAAGTCTTGTTCAATAAACTTTAAAATGCCACTATAGAGCAATAACACAGACAGTATAAACCCAGCCCTGGGAAAGCTGTGCGACCAGAAATTGTTCCCCTTTCTGCTACAGCAATAAAGTTTTATATGTTTGAACTGACTGTAAAAAGGTTTGAATGTTGGCAACTGGGGAATAATCTGTCTTCTTTATAGTTATTATCATATTTCCCACAAGACCCCTTGGTCTGTGTCAATCCTTCTTGTATATGACACCTTTGTACTGTCAGCGAAAGCAAGTCTACTTTCCTTTTTTTTTTTTTAACTATAGGACTTGTATCTGTTTTCCTTCAGATTACAGCTAACAGGAATAAATTATTTCTGACAAGCATCTATTGCAGCATTTTACCAAATAAAGCCGGTTGTGACTGTGTCTCCAGGAGTGGGGGGGGGGGGGCGCTCCTTCCTTCTCCTTCCCCCTTTTTCTCTCAACTGATTCAAATGCAATTCAGGGCTGGTTAAATTGGAGGAAATGCCAATAAAAAGAGATTTGTAGGAAAGTTGCTCTGAATGGCAGAGCCAGTGGAACATGGTGCTTCAGTCCTCCTGGGTGCCATTGGATCTGTGTGGAGGAGTGAGGGAAGGCAGGAGGAGGGATCATCCCTCTCCTCAAGACCGCTCTCAGACCTACGAGCACTGCTACTACATGGAACCAAATGGGCCCTTTCCTGGACTCAGATTGATGACAAGTGGGGAAGGGGTCTGGGTGCAATCAGCGTGGAAGGTAACCAGGTACACGTGGGCTCTCAGGTGACCAGTCATTATGGCTGAAAGAAATTTAGGTTCAAGTTAATAAATAACCATGCTGCATGTGTCTGGTCATAATAAGGAGAGGCATAGACCTTACTCTGTAGTCCCTCTACACCACGGCTCAACAGCAGACACAGAGACCTCGTCCCAGTAACCCATTCCCTGAAGCAACTGTGCTAAACATTCTCCCTCATCTCAGACATCTACAGCACTATCCTGATGTTTTTCTGTCTTCCTCCCTTTGCACTTGATTTCAGAAAAAAAAAAAAAAAAAACACACACAAACTGAGGGACGATTCTTCCCACCTTTAGAAACATAACAAAGTTATGAATGGGTATTTGTAAATATCAAGATTCATAAAATCAGAAGACAAATATGTGGTTACGTATCAATACAAAGGTCACAATACATTAATTATTTCCATGCAACAAAATAGACAAGGTCTCTCCCAGACTGCAAGATTAGTCACATGAATCTAGACACATTGATATACACATGCATATACAGTATCTATACATCTGTGTGCAAGCACTCAACTACAACTCCACCCATCTGACAGCTCTGGTAGGAAGGGCACATATCAAACAGTGTCTATGAACAGAGCAACTGCACCAAAATCAGTTGGTGCCAAGTAAAATGAAGTAAATACAATCCTCGTCCTTCAGTGAGTCAGAAAAGGCTTGAGCTTCTGATTCATCTCTGTGAGCTTGGGACATCTCCTTCCTAATTGTTGCCTCTCTATGGAAGGTCAGGCTCGCAAAGACAAGCTACCTTTTTCCAGCTCAGCCAAAACCAAACAAACAAGTAAATCATGTTGTGATGTGAGGGTGTGCCTTGTTCCCCTCAGTTCCCTCTACTGCCCTTGACACAGAAGAGCCACACAAACTGCACCATCTAACAAAAGTGCATCAACATCAGCCTTAATGGCTTTTAAATTCCAGCTGCAACTGAAAATCTACGATTCCATCATCATCATTCCTTTAGCTTTCCTGGTGTCCTCTCCACACACTTTGCTTACGGAGTCAAAGTTTACTAATTGTTTGCCATCCAATAGGTTCTTGGAGAGATCTAAAGATTTTATGAGCAAAGTCAAAAAGAAGCATTGTGGCTGATGATAACAAAAGGCAGTGTGATATCAAGAACCCATGGGACAGATACCTGTTTTCAAGTTATCAAAAAAAAATTCTGCAGAAAGATAGCCCATGGGTGCCATAGTGGCACAAATATTATGGCAGTAACCAACCCCTTTATAATTAGTTTTAAGGCCCACTCCACAAGAGGAGATTCGCGGCTGTAAC